CCGAGACGCCCCAAAGGCTCATCACCACAAAATTATCAAAGGTCTTCATACAACTCGACCGCAAAAAGTCTGAAGTCCCACAACTACTTCACAAACTGTAGCACGCGATGAGTGAAGCCATGGTCAAGCTAAATGCCTGACAATTAGGGACATTGATTAAGCCCTGCACAACCCATTTAACACAATTCCCATCAAAAAGCTGAAATTGCAAAATCTAATTACGACGAAAAATCTTGTTGTCATCACTCTGTTCATACCTTTGAAATTCTCTGTCTGATCTCCACTATTTTATTATCAAAAGGCACCCCCTCCCCCTTTCCCCCCATTCTATATTCCCCGGAGAAAATTAGATATGGAAAAATAATGAAAACTAAAATGAGGGGAAAATCCCTGACGCGAGAGACACATGGAAGAGTTGATCAGCAAGGGCTCAGGATGGGGGGCGAGGGGTGGGGTGAGGGTTGATGGGATGAGCGCATGTCGACATTAGTCCCATCGAGTCCTAGCAGCTGTGGCGTTAGCACGAGTATTTTCCCTGTAGAGTGTAGGATGTAGCGTCAGTTCAATGACCTTTCGACTCCGTGCTTTGCTCCGCAGCTTCACGGGCTACAGATATATCTGTATATCTAGGAGGGATACAGTTACGTTGAGAGGGTCGCAATTCACTGTGTTGACATGGTGGGTGTAGCCGCCCATCTAATACACGAGCTCGCTCTCAATGGGGCACTGTACAACCGCTTCTCGAGTTTTGAGGGATTATTTTTGTTGGTGGGATAAAATAGATGGTTTGGAGTTTTTCGAGGCTTTTCGAATATTGTAGTTCATTCTGAGAGAATAATTTTTTAAATTAGTCATTCAAGTTGATTGTCAATTATTGAATGAGATTTTTTTCATTTTTCGAATTATTTATTCAGTTTAATTAGTTGATTATTTGTTTATTTAATTATTTAATCAGGATGTGATGAGAAAAATGATGAAAAAAATGTGAACAAGATCATGCTTCGATGATTCATTGTGCACTTCAACTGGAACAATTTTTCAGATTTTTCAGCTGCAGGAATTTCGAAAAAAAAATCGAAAACACGAAAAAATGAAGATTTTGTAAAAGCGTCGTTGAATTATATTCATTAATATATTCTTTATGTGTAAAGGATTGAGAATTACGGCATGAGGACACTTCCATGAAGATGGAATGGAAGATTCCATGAACAAAAAAAAGAAAACTCAATTTTTGCTCGTTTTTTACATTAAAACCGAATATTTAATTATTCTCAAAAATTATTTGTGAATAATTTAATGTTCTTCTCCGTTAAACCAACGAAATTTATAACTAGAATATTTTTTCGATACTATATATGTAAAAATAAACGTGGTTTTGTTCCCAGGTTCTCTCGTGAATAAAGTTGCTTGAGGATTTCAAATTTTTATTAGTTGTTTTTCTAGAATGTGATCCTTTGGGATCAATATTCATAGGGAATTCAAAAGTTCATGCTCCCGTGGGTTTTTTGTTTGGGTTTCCAGGGGATATAAAAGTCTTCATGTGAAGGGTCTAAATTTGTTTCTGATGCTCTTTCCTTTTTTGAAGATGGATGCGTGGAAATTATGGGTTGAGTCGAAATCATTATTTATAGACGAGTTTTTTTCTATTTTTGTTCCAGGAATGACATCAAGGAGGATGTATTTGTCCATCAAGTGAGTATTCTATTACTTCATTTTTTTTGCAGAATTAATTCTCGATGAAAATGAAGATCTCTGACTAGTCGGTTGACATAATAAGATGAGTCAATTTTATTTGTTGATTGGTTTCCAGATCTGCAAAAAAATATGCAAATTTTTCTGTTTCCATGAGATGCAGAGATCTATTTTTTCGTCAAATGAGAAATTTTTGACAGTCATGTGACGTTATATATTTTTTTGTCATAATTTGAGTAGTTTGACATTGTCACTATTATTTATTTGCAATCTATGTGAAAAAAATGTCATAAAATTGAGAAGCTATTATGAAATTTCGAAAAATGGGACATTTTTATTGCCATTTAAATGGAATATGACGATCACATACGATTTGTCACAAAAAATGTCAAAAATTTAGCAGCTGTCATTAAATTTTAAGTAGTTTGACATAGTAACTGCTATTTACATGGAATATGATGTTCACATAGAATTTGTGTCACATTAATGCCGTCATTATTTGGTCACGTGACGTCATATGACGTGTCATAAAATTCTTACATACCTCTAATATTGACTAAAGTATAACAAATAATTTTTTATGAAAAAACAATAATTTTCATTAAAAATCTCTGAAATTATTTCATGATGTCGACGATGAATTCTCTTTAATTATTGCCATTTGTTCTCGTTCAACAGTCAGCCATCGTGAAGAATAACCCAAAGAAGGCTGTAAGAAGCGTGGGTGATGGTGAAGTAGTGGAGTTTGACGTGGTGATCGGTGAGAAGGGCCACGAGGCAGCAAATGTCACTGGACCAGACGGTGAGCCTGTGAAGGGCTCACCGTACGCTGCGGACAAGCGTCGTGGTTACCGTGCATGGTACTATCGACAGCGTGCGGCTTCCAGACCCCAGCGCAGAGGCCCCCGAGAAGGTCAACACGATGGTCAGTAAATTTCATTACCATTTTCAATCATACTAGCCCTTGCGGTCGGCTTGTTGATGCCCTTTTTCCTGCTAGATTCGATATTCCTTCTCTCAATTAATTGTTTACAATCATTCCCATTGCAAAAAATAACACGACCGATGAGAATCCCAATTTATGTGTGTCCCAATTTATCAGCTGTTAAATTTTCATATTACAATAAATGACTTGCTCATGTTCTAATTCCTATGCTCACTGAATAAGATTTTAATCATAATTACAATTTAATTCATTCTAGAGCACACTTTAGAGTGTGAATTTCTGGAATTCAATGTTTGTTGATTCTCTGGTAAAAGTGCGGGCCCGCACTGTTATCAATTTTTAGTTATTTCACACGGTAATTCAATTAATCTGTTGTTCATCTCATCAGTATAATTCCGTGCTTAGAATATTGTCATCTCGTGATATCACCACCAAATTAAAAATTAAAACTTTATTTGGAATATTGAGTCACAGTTTTTGTATTTGGATATTAATATTATTTGTTCAAAGTTAAAAAATCAATCATCATTTTCAATATATTGCATTCAGATTCTCCTATCCTTAACGTAAAAAAATTGAGATAATCTCATCATTCTAGCTATTAATTCTAATCAACTTTTTTCGAAGAAAACCTTAGTAAACGCAATGTTAAACTTAAACTTCAACAGTTTTACCACTTCACTACTGAATTACATAATAAATCGTGATTATGCAAATTTTAAATTGAAAACAAGTGGTTTTGACATTAAGGATATCCAAGTATCTTTTATAGTTTGATACAGACCGTTTATATGTTATTTAAAATTGTTTGTAAATTGTAAAATTTTACTTTTTAAATTATTTCATCAATCTTCCTTCGAAAATAAGTTTTCTAATTTTCTTCACGTTTTTAAAATGTTTTCTAACTGTTCAATATTGAGATTAAAATTCAGACCTGCAAAGATTAACCAATAGAAGTATGTCAATGGAGAAAAAATAGCCAAAGTACTTGGACATCCTTAAAACAAGACTTTAAAACCGTTGAAATGTTCCTCTAAATGTACCTTCCCCCCCCTGAATAATCAACCAATACAATATCTAAACCCAAAAGTTTGATGATCAGACGATCAAATATCTTCAGGTGAAGCTAAACAGGGTGGTGATGAGCCCCAGCAGAACGAGGGTGGTGGCCAGAGACGTTATCGGCCACGAAGGCAGAATTTCGAGGGTGGTTACTACCGTGGACGCAGATCTGGCCCACCCCAGAATCAGGGAGAGAATGGTGGTGATGCCGGTGACAATCGGTACGAGAAGGGTGAGCAGGGTGGCGAAGGTGGTCAAGGAGGTGGTGCACCAGCTCGTGGACGTGGCGGTGGACGTGGTGGATCACGTGGGCCGCGACGTTTCTTCCGTGGTAATAATTTCCGTGGAGGGCGAGGTGGTGGCGGCATGAGACCACGCAGGGAAGAATTCAATCAGGTGGGTTGATAAAATTATATCATAGAAAACATGAAATATCCTTCCTCTCTATTTATCGATAGACATTTTCTCGCATTCTTTTTCACTTTATCATGAAAATCTCTCACATTCTCGATTCATCCGCTCTTGCCTCGATAAATGATTCGTCAGGTGAGTGGTTGTGAGGAGGGCGTTGGTGAGGGGTGCCACCTGGGGAGGGTCCAACGTCCACGTTACAAACGTGCACAATCCACTGGGCTCCATGCACGATACATTAACAAAGAGAATATTCAACCTGATTCCAATCTCCCATCCCAAATACCTGGAAAAATCCTTCCTGATGCTGATGACAGTGTTGTTATGCAGGTTTATTAATTATTCATTAATAGTTTTTTTCATTGCCTTGGGTAATTAAATTCAGTTCATTAAAGTTTTGGTAATTTTGATATTAGCGTTTTTTTTATGGAAGCAATTCTTGTTTAGAGAAGGCTACTTATCCCTGTTTATTTTACGATGAATATTCAAGAGAATATTTTGAAATAGCACTTTCTAAAATTGGATGTTTATGTCAGGAGCTTCATGATATTGGTTTATTTATTATGATAATTAGGAAATGAATGGGACAGTGGAAGGATTAATCAATGAATAAATTAATGGGACGAGCGATGTTATTCTTTGATGAATGGAGATTATAGAGATTCAGTCAGTTAAACTTTATAAAGCAATTCTATGAAGTAATTCTCGTTTGTAGCTGGTTAATTATCTCGGTTTAGTCCGTAATTAATATTCGATGGGAGTATTTTGAAATATCTGTTGTTGTATTGTCTATTAATATCAAGAACTTCATCAATCAATTGAATAATTAATGGAATGATGGGATGGCAAAAATGAATAAATAAATGAGTAAAAACGACGTAAATAACACAATATTATTGGATAAACATCTGAATGTTTAATAGAGATTCCCTTGATTAAACTCTTGGTAACTTTGATATCGACAATTTGTGATGAAAGCAATTCGTGTTTACAGAAAGCTAATTATCCCAGTTTATTTTACGATCAATATTCATCGGGAATATTTTGAAATGTCAGTTGCTAAATTGGATGTCTGTATCAGAAGCAATTGTTTAATTTATCAAAAGCTTCAGGACTTGATTCAATTAATTTAATAATTAGCAGATAAATGAGATAAGAAAAATAAATAAATAGATAGAATAAACCAAATAGATAACAGTTGATGAATATTATTCTTGAATAAATATCTGAACGTTTCATAGAGATTCACTCAATTAAACTTCTGATTACTTTAGTATTTACAATCTTTAATGAGAGCAACTCTTATTTAGAGAAGGCTAATTATCTCGGATTATTTCATAATTAATGTTCAATCTGAGTATTTTTAAATATCAGTTGTTGTAGTTGTCTGTTTATATCAAGGTCTGCATAATTTTTATTCAATTAATTCAATAGTTAGTAGATAAATGAGATAATATAAAGAAATGAATAAATGAATAAATAGGATAAAAGAAATAGCTAACACAGAATGGCCATTTTTCCAACAATTATCCCCTCCACGTTGTATGTGCAAATAAGTAGACAAATATTACTCTTCATTTTCACCTGATTCATTTTATTCTCTTATGATTTAATTTTCTAAAAAACAATCATTGTAGAATTTAGACGACACTTTTGCACGTTTTCTTTGTACTATTTGTAGCAGGAGCAGAAGTCAAGCGGAAAAGTGATTCAGATTTCATGTGACGATCCGGATGCAAGAGTCGCTGTCCCTGCTCCTCAGGTAAATTTATTTTCTTTCGTTCTTGTTTCCTTTCTCACAGTGTTTTTTTTGTCATGCATTCCATTATTATTCTCCTTTCTCTCCTGGAGCAATTTACCACTTATCTCTTATTTCGAGAATAGGAGGATCTTGTGCATGGTTATTTAGGTAGTTGATTGCCACTCTCCTTCATTAATGTAGCAATTACTGACTCGAAGTTGGTCAAAGGCGAGTGGAGTAAATCGAGGGGGAAATCAGAGGACTGGCGGACGTATTCACGTCATTTTCCTCTTTCTCTTATTCATCTTCACGTTAATTTTTCCTCTGTTGTTAATGGGATCAATTTAATTTCATGATGAAAATGTGACTGAGGGAATTAATATGCATTTAAAAAACAGTTGTCATGTACATTTGCAATTTTTAATTTGCAATTTGTCAATTAAATTGCGTGAGAAAAATTCAGACGAAGGTGAATAATTTGTCAACATTCCAAAAACATGACTTTTCCGTGATATTATATATGTTATTTATTATTGCAAAATAGACTTTTTGATTTTGAAAAGTAGGTATTAGAACGATTTGAAATTGAGATTCACATTGAGACATTCAAGGTTTAAATAATAAAAATTATTTCAAAACGAAAAGGGAAAAAAATTCAGCAAAGAAAAAAAAGAATACTAAATATTTTTCTCAACATTGCCTCCTTGTTATTGTAAATAATAAGTAATAATTTGTTACAATTTCGAAAATGTGACTTTTAGGCTGAGAAATCAATTTTTAAAAATTACTTCACATAAAGGATTATTTTATTATTTTTAAAATTTAATTTCTCAATCATAAATCAATAAAAATAGTTGAAAAACGAAAAGGAAAAAAATACCTGAAAATCATTCAAATCGGCGAGAAACAATTACCGCAAATGTTTGGGATTCCCCACCGAATCAGTTCTAACAACTAACAATGTCGAATTATTACGATTCCAATCGACCTAAAACCCGCAATTTCTCTCTTGATTTTCCAGGAGAGCCAGCCTGTGCAGAACACCACCACGGAGAGCACTGCTTAACAACAATAACCGCTACTACCACGTATCAACACTCCTCAAAAGAAAAAAAAACAATAAAAAAAAACTATAACACCAACACCCGTTATACACTGAAGAAGCAGCGGCATCTCAACATCACGAACAATAAGCAGCAGCAACATTTCAATAACAACCTATATAACAATGAAAGAATACGAAAAATTTAAAACATAAAGAGAAACTTGAAATACCAGCAGAAAACACTACTCAACACTCTCCCCACGATAATAAGCAAGTTAAAGCGTTTCAAGGTATGTAACGAGTAACAGAAAACACCTGAGGTGATAATCGAGTGGCGAACACAATGGTAATGTCTAATTGCATAATCATTATCTGTGAAAAAAAAATCAAGAAATACGTAGAAATAGGGTGCGGAATGACTTATCAGGCATCCAAAGAAAGTTTAATGACATCAAAGCAGTCCTCTGAAATGAAACAAAAATTACAACGGAAAGTCGAAAAAAAATTCAACAGAGAATAAGAAATAATTTGTACTCGTTCTCGTTTATTTTTCCCTATTAACAATTCGCGTTCAGTTGTGTTGAATCATTGCGTTTTTTTGTATTCACTGTTTATACCTGAAGATACAGAAAATTGGCACTAAATCATACATTGAAAATGTCTTGAGATCAAAATCCGGAGAATTCTCTTGTGAAAAAATAAGAATAATAAATGAAGAAATTGCGTTATGTGCGGAAAAATCATTGTAACGATAAAAATATGTATTGCGCGACTCAATTGTATTTTTAAAATTAATCGTTGGTTGATATCAACGCAGTGACGACCCCTGGTGGGTCCCGCACTTGACGAAATTATTGATTGGACTTAACGTGTTGTTTACCCGTTGGACAATCAGAATATTCAATGATACCCCGTGGACAATTGGCATAAAAGTATCATATTGCATGCAGAGTTATTGTTCTTTGACAGCTGTACGTCAAACGGGGGCTGATTCATTTGGAATAAAAATACCACTGGGTGTCATTGTTTAACTGTCTGCAGACTTGATTGACTATTCAATCACGATATGTCAAGAGAGTAATATGTATTGAAATTGATTATGATAAAAGAGAATGAGAGAATTTATACATTTTTTTTGCATGGAGTAATCTTTTTTTTTAATTTTAGTTTGTAGTAACATCACGAAATAAAATCTGAAAGCTTTTTTCGATAATAACTGTTGACTATTTATTGTTTGATACGAATCTTCAAAATTCACCCTGACGAAGGCCGATCTATTTTGTTCTCATTTCATTTTTTAAAATTTCTTTTTATTCATAACTGCACTGGTGGAAAGAATTGAAATTTCAGGGACAGTTGAATAGGGACTTTCTGGGGAGTTAGGTTGGGCTCGATTTGGGAGGAGCAATCGTGAAGTTTTAGATTTTACAGGAAATTATGGGAAATTCCAAATTTTTCCGCAGGAAGGGAAGAATTTCGTAATTCAATTGAATTATCGATCAAAATGTGAATATTCAGCACGAAATTATGATGGATATTCGGTTAATTGGAAATTCAAGAATATAATTCTAATGGAAATTAAAGAGGTTCCTGGATTCATATCAATTTGCATTGAATAATTGAACTGGAATTGACAGTTTCCGTGGATTTTTCTGTGAAATTGTTAATTTTTAGTGACGAAATTCCATAAAACTTTAGAGGAAATGGCTTGAAAATCATGAAATTTAAAATTTTCACAGAAAATTCCGAGCAATTCTGCAATTCTCCGGAATTTTCATGGAATAACTGAACTGAAATTTACAGTTACCCGTTTTTTTTTGGTGAAATTGTGAATTTTCCTTTACAAAATTTCCTGAAATTTCATGAAACTGACACCGGAAATGCCACAAAACTTATGAAATTTCGAATTGCACAGAAAATTCAATGGAATTCTCAAACTCACTAGAATTTCCGTGAAATAATTGAACTAAAATCCCCAGTTTTCATTGATTTCCCAAAAACTGTCAATTCCCAATGGCCAAATTCCTTGAAATTTCAGTGAAACGTGCGCCAAAACTGTCCGTATAGTGCACCAGAAATTTTCGCCAAAACCTTTCAACACTGTGTTTGAACATTAAACTTTTACGAAGGAAAGCAAGTGGATGCATAATACCCAGAATAGCAGATGCGAGAATGATTGAACATTTAGTTGAGACTCGCGATTACGTTACATCAATGATTGACGATTTTTGAATCAATTTTTTATATTTCCATGATATTCTCCTGATGAGCACACGTTCGTTGATCAAGCATTACCATTAAATTGCTCAAGTACACGGGGAAAGTGATAAGCCCAATCAATTCGATGATTAACATAATCGCGTGGTCCAACACGATGCACCGTAGAAGAGAAACCATTAATAATTACGAAGTAAACATTAAAGAATTTAAAAAAAGTAATCAGGCTTGCATGAGAGTGTTTAAGGGACAAACATTAAAGAAACAAGTTGTAATACTGACTGCGAAAAAGTACAATGCATGTGTTGACTGAAATCAAACGCTACGAGGAATATCACGTGCGATTAAATTTAATAGAAAAACCCGGTGAATTCGCTGGAAAATTCTATTGAATTTCTATTGATACTTTTGAAAAATTGATGTTTAACTGTGTTTTTTCACTATAAATGTCGTTGAAAAATATTCTATAGAAAAAATCAATAGAGTTTGATTTTTCTGAACAATTTATTCTATTGAAATATTTTCTGTAGAAATTCTTCGGCTCAAATTTTCGTCTCAAATTTTTTATTTCATTTTTTCAGTTGAAAAAGAAGAAAAATAGAGTGGAATAAAATCATGTCGAGAAATTCCTATGGAAAATAGGTCAATAGAAAAAGTTTCAATAGAAATTTAATGTGAATTTCTATCGAATTCGCCAGGTTTTTTCATGAAATGTTTTTCGCTCGTGATAATATCGACAAAAAAGGAATCAGAATAATGAACCATCGATTTGATAACAGCCAGTCTCTATGTCCAGCGTGTGGTGTTCGCGGATGAGCGCGTGAACAAGTTTTTTTTTTGATAAAAGAGAGGCTGGAGGTGACGACGGAATTCTCTAAAATCGGAGGGAAGTAGAGGGAAGAGGGATTAATTGCGAGACGCGACACACGCCGCTTTGTTTTTGTACCACGTGTGGAGATCCAGTGTTGAAACGAGTCTCGGGATTTATGTCACCTCCTGCCTCTCCTTTTCGTCAATGGAATGCTAATTATTTCGAAAATTTGTTTGTATCAAATTCATTGGAATGAGAAAATATATGAGTGAATTGAGGTTTTTACAAAATTCAATAGCTCGGATGAAGAACGCACGATCAGTCCTCTCTAAATTCCATTTAGAACTTCGTTACTGATATTTAATAAAGATGAGATAAAGCATGTTGAAAAATGTTGAAATTTTCAAACAGTCAATTAGATCTGAATTGATATCTCGCATGATGTACATGCAGAGGGGGAGGAAGAAGGAGGGAGATGAATGGTATTAGTTTGGCATTCACCGAATTCTTCCTTTTTATGGAAAAACAATTTTGCGGGCTTGGTGATAGCCCAATCACTTGGATTAACCGATATAATTAAAATGCGTTGAACGTGGCAGTAATTGTTTTGATGGAGTGATGAAACCACGTCGACTGCCCAGTGAATTTTGTACCGAAACATTGAAAAGCGCTAAATGATAATTTTCATAAATGGAATTTAATTTTTTCACGAAACATGTGCATTATAAAAAATAAATTGAACAAAAAAATCGTAAAAGTCATGAAACTGTACTTCAGTGGTTTTATTTATTTTTCCTGATTAATCCCTGGCGAGTGGAACGCAGTCTCCATTGGCTTCTGCATGATATGGGCTCTATTACTGGATAATTTCATGAAAAATATTAGATACGTATTATTTTATTTTGGGGATTGGTGGGAAATTAATGAGTTGGAGGACATTGAAAACGTCTGCATTATGACGTATTCTTCGACTGGCTGTGACTTCTCAGTTTTTCGTGATTTTTCAATAGAAAAATTAATATATAATCCTCATTCAATAAACATATGCCATGCAATAACAGCATTAATCTTATTTTCTTGAAATCGTGACATTTCAGTTATAGAAAACTCAATGAATTTTTTAATTGTTGAGCTGTAGGGGAATGAGAATTTTCCGTGCCAAATTATGAATATTCAGTGCCACATTATGCGGCATTTTCAATTAATTGAAGCTTCAAGAATATATTTACCTGAATTTTCCTGATTACTGTTAATTATCGTGGAATAATTGAACTGTAATGTGATAAAAATCCCGGAGTCTACTGGAAATTTCAGTCAAAAATTTTTGACAATGATGAGTCGTTATAAAACTGCATTAAATTTTTTTTTCGTTGATCAGTAATTGAACTGAAATTTAGCGTTTTCATGCATTTTCCATAATATTTCACATCTTCAGTGACGAAATGCTTCAGTGACGAAAATAATCTGTGACTCAATATTCCAAATGAAGTTTTAATTTTTAATTTGGTGCTGAAAACACGAGATGACAATATTCTAAGCACGGAATTATATTGATGAGATGAACAACAGATTAATTGAATTACCGTGTGAACTAACTAAAAATTGATAACAGTGTGGGCACGCACTTTTACCAGAGTATCAACAAACGTTGAATTCCAGAAATTCACACTCTAAAGTGTGTTCTATAAGGAATTGAATTGTAATTCTGAGTAAAATCTTATTCAGTGAGCGTAGGAATTAGAACATGAGCAAATCATTTATTGTAATATGATTCGCATCGGTCATATTGCCTTTTGCAATGGGATAAAAATTTCCAAGAAATGTACCGGGAATTTCACCCAAAAATTTTGAACAGCAACGATTCGTCATAAAACTGCATTGAATTCCTCTTTCATCGATCCGTCTAAATCCCCCGCCCGTAAATATCTCCGGGATTCGCACAGCATTCTCTTACAGCCCACCATCGCTTTTTACCTACCCATCATGCAATCGTCACGAGTGGACGCGACCCTCGTTGTTGACGGAACAATAGCCAGAGCCAATTATGATAATGTCACGATAGCGGAACAGGAAGTGGAATTTACGAGGATTAAATGTTCATGGCAACATTTGCCCATCCACTCAACAGATACGAGTACGAATACTGCACGCAATATCTTGGATTCTACAATCCAGTAATGTTGGCGTCATGAATATTTTATCCCCGGAAAATTCGGGAAATATTCTCATCTGGGGGTGCAGCATTTCATTTCATTTCGTGGACATGCATTTTTTCATGTCCCCCAAACGAACGAGTGGCGGTGGTAATTCACGCAATTTCGTTTATTAAAATTTTTGCCCATGTGGAAGTAAACCGCGAGCAATTACAAAAATGATGATTAAAGTCCGCACTCACAATACATCCCTTCATCATTTTCATCTTTATTGACACAAACATGGAATTATTAAACTGCCAGTGATGTTACCGCGAGCTTCACTTTGTCAAATATGCGTCGAAAAGTTCTGCCACTGTTAATTAATGACCGGGGATTCGTTTGCTCGCATAATATTGGCTTTATGAATATTTTATTCGCGGAAAATATGGGAAACATTCTCATCCGAACGAAAAAATTTATTGCGTTCCCCGGACACAAATTAAATTTTTGTCGTGATCATCAGAATTAACCCTAGAAGAATTCGAACTGTTGGCAGGAAAAAATGTAATCTATTGTACGACAATCATTTGATCTAAGAGAACTCCATAGGTTTATACCATAGAAAGAATACATTGACGAGGAAAGAATATTTTTTTCCCAAAAAAAATTGTCCCCTCGAAATTATTTAGTTTTGCCAATAACCCAGTTTTCGGCAAGAAAATTGTAGTTTTCTCTTGAAATTATCATTTGTTCCATGGAAATTATAAGTGTTTATTGGCCAAAGATATACACTACTCAATAACATTCACTTGATAAAACCAAAGCCTCATATAATTCTCTGTAGAACGACTGTATTCACCCGAAAGACATAAATGTCTCACGAGAACAATTACTACTACAAAAATTATCATGTTTCGGTGGGAACTTTCTTCTTTATCCCCAAGTAAATTGATTCAACCCGTCAAAAGATCTCCTCAGGGGAACATATAATTTTTCCGCAGAACTAATTTCTTCTCTCAGACTTCTCATTTGAAAAAGTGACGTCATTTAATTCCGGGCACCCGTTTTTTCACTCAATTCAGGCGAAAAAAAATCTCGAATCCAACCCAACGTCCATCCATCCAATTTCATTTATTTCAATTTTCTACATACGGAAATAGACTCCATACAATATTGATGAAGCAACTCGACAGTCCAATGGATAATTAAATTGCGCACCACCATCCCTTTTATTTCAACTTTTTACATTTCATAAAATTGAAAATAAAATCATCGAATTTCCAATTATATTTCCGTTAGCGTTATTTGGTTATAAACTCATCGAAACGTTCACTCAGTGATTATTAATCCCAGGATGTCCATCCTCTGAACGCGAAAACATCCCTTCCACTCGCAACCATTTCCCAACCATGAATATCAGATATCATACGGATATGCAATAACTCGGCCTGGAATAGCCCGAGGGAGATCATTCGGTAAAAATTTTCCACGCATTTCCATTCTCCGCCATACAAGCAGCCAGTGCTATTTCCGCCAAATGCGTATCCCTGTGAGGCGGCCAGGCATGCATGTGAAATTTTTCAAGTGCTTGCGCCACTTGACGCAAAGCCTCATCCGACTTTTCCTCCTCCATACTCGTGAATCCACGTTTATACTCCTCCTCGCATTCCTCCAGTCGCGCAATACGCTCTTTCAGATTTATCTTTCGTTGACAAGTTGTACATTTGATACTCGGATTTCCGTTTTTCAATCGGTGGAGTGATCCTCTACATCCTTCAGTTGTGCATCTGCAAAATAAGTCGGAGGAATTGAGGGGAGTGGGCTTGAACAGAATTGTAAAAATGGAATGGTTTGTTTTAGTTCGGGAAAATATTCGAATGTGGAAAATTGAGATGAAACATCTTTGTGATTTTACACCTTCAGGAAATTCTTCACTCAACACTCATCGACATCATTAATTGAATTTTTTTACATGGATCATTAATTTTTGTAATGCATTCGGGCCCCACTCAGGACTCTATCTAACGCTACGCGTGCGACTGTGGATTCTACGTTGCGCCCCATTCGCACTCTTATAGATTAATAATAAATCTAATATAGAACATAGGAGTAGCAAGGGAAACCACAGGAAAGTCACGCCGGTACAGGCGGTTACTCTATTAGCAACCTTCCGCCCGCCGGAGTCTCAGGTAAAGTGCTTCTTGCCAACGGAGTAACCCCAGCCGTATACCCTCATCAACCCAAATCCTCGATTATGATTAATAGGTGGACAACGGATAATTAATTATTGTAATTTTCATTATCCACATATACGAAAAAATTATTTGGTGAATTTCAAAAACTAGTTGTTGAGAAAATGAATTACCAACCAGTTATCGCATTTCAACAACTTGAAATTTAACAATTAGTCGTTGAAATTCACCAAATAATTTTCTCCGTGTAGGTCAAGAGGGTCAAAATCCTTTATTTGATATTGTTATAAATTTTTTTGTGGCCTCCATCAGGGGGATATAGCCAACCAAAGGAATTGAATTGAATTAAAATTCGGTACCACATGGGATCGAACGCGCAACCTTCCGCACACTACACTGAGAGAAAAGGACAAAGTTCTCAAACAAGTCTTACTTGTGCCAAGAATATAGCTTTTTGAAAATTATCAAAAAAGGATTTTTTTGTGCCAAACATGGAGAGAGTGCGCCGGAATGAAAAATTTTTGTCGCAAAAATAGATTTAGTAGTTAAAAAAAAATGGCATTCTCTGTGCACGCAAGAAATGTCATTTCCAGCACTACTCCTTCGTTATTCGATACTCCCATACGTATTTTGCCCCCGAAAAATCTTTGTTTTATGCGAAACAAGGGATAGTAGTTTTTCGTTTCGGCTGTCAAATAATCACAGAGAAGAAATGAACCCTCAAATGAAACAATAATAATGATACGATAGCAATCTTGTAACTTAGGGATAAAATATTTGTTGATAAATTTTCCTCTATGTGAGATATGTTCATCCTGAAAAGGCACCGTCTGGTGTGAATTATCCGCCTCTTGAGCCAAATATGTCGTTGCTGTCGAAAGGAGAGCAATTATTCATGTTTGAGACTTTCAAATTCGAACCGAACAAATTCTTTTTTGGCAATTTTCAACTAGCGATTTTGTTGGCCCAAACAAAATTTGTTTGACAACGTGTTTGTTTCTCTCTCAGTGTAGACTTGCGTCTAGTCTACTCGGCCACCGACGTCGGTTTATAATGCATCATAAGCGTATAAAATTCAATACATTTGAAATTTTAATGAGAGAAAACAAGTTCTTCACACTCTTCAACAAGTAAATGAGATAACAGATGAGCACTCGAGTCCATTCTAATTTAAAAAAAAAGTTAATATCAGCACTGATTTCTTGAATTTCACAAACCCCTTCGTTTTATATTTTGCCTCTTTCCTCATTACTGAATTGCACACTAAATTACATTTTATCATTTCAGAGTAATAAAATGGAAAAGTGATAAAACTTTGTATTCATGGATTTCTCGGCTGTTGTCAGAGCAACACTAAACTGACTTCTTACATTTTGCCTTTTCGTTTCTCGAAGATTGTGGAAGGGTTTGAGAAGGGGGTTAGAGGGGGGTTTCACTGGTCATTTCACAGTTTTACATATTTCCATTGGAAGTTGCTTGAGAGAGGGTGGAGATTCTCTTGTTCGCACTTTCTTATTGGCCATTGCTGGGTCTGGGTCGGGGCAATCTCCCCGACTTTACGACCGTCTTGCGAGCGGAAAACAAGATAGTAAATTTCACAATTTCTGAGGGACTGGAGACACTCTGTCTATTCATAAATTTCGGAACTGGGGATTAGTAATAAATGAGCACTTGACGTGCATTTTCGGGAAGTCTGGAATTTTTTCCCTTTTAGATGGGGAGTGTAAACACAAGCGAAATTTACGATCGGCTGCTGTTCTTTGAATTAACTACAATTTTATATTTTGTATTAATTTTAGAGACAGTGGAGAGGAATTTTGTCTTTGAAATTTGATTACGACTCATTGTTCGTAACACAATTAAGTGGAAAATCTATTTATTTATGTATTGTTTATAGAGACATGTGTAGGGTCAAATTGAGGATGTCCGAGTACTTTAGCTATTCTTTTGCGAGTCAAATGCCTTTCCAGTTTTGTAGTCGAACATCAGAGCTTTCATTTGAGCCCCATTTGACCCCAAGTTTCCGGCTATTTGACAATGATTTTATTGAACCGTTAGAAAACATTTAAAAAATCGGAAAAAAAAATTAGAAAGTTTGCGATTTTGGTGGGAAGATCAATGAAATAATTTAATAATTGCAATTGTTCTATAAATAATTTATAAATAATCAATTTTCCATCATAAAAATTGGTTATTCGGAATCGTAACAAATTTATTCACATTCAGAATTTGACCAGAAATTAACTTCATGCCTAGAAAAATACGGTTTCCCGAAGTTTAAACAATTTCAATTATTTATTTATAAACAACGAATGTTTAAGGAAATAATAATTATGTGCAAAATTTTATTTGAATGACGCTGAATATTCGTGATTTTTTTTTCAAATTTTTCTCACCCAATTTAATTGACAAATTTGATGATTGAAAATGGTTGAATCTGATGAATAGAATTGAATAGATGCTTGGATATCCTTAAATACATTCATTTATACATGGTAAATTGAAGTGTTGAATTGTGTACATATAAGTGGTAGATGAAGGCATGATTGAGTTGCGATAAACAGGAAAAAAAGAGAAAAGTTGCGAACGAGAAGATTTTATCAACTTTCGTGTGACTATTAAATTAACTATTTATACACGTAATCTTTCGTGGAAACCAGCAATTATATAGAGATTGAGACTATTTGATTTCCAAAGAACCTTTATAAAAAATTCCTAACAAAATTTTTTCTAAAATTCCTAAGAGACATTAAAAAAAATGAAACCGAATTTTCCAGTAACACTGAATAATTATGATGAATTGTTCACTAAAACTTAAGTTTTGTCGAAAAAACACAAGTGACTTCTCATAATAAAATTAATGGGAAAATCCGCTTGACGTTAATATGCAATTCTCTACGAAAAATCGTCAATTTAAATGTAATTCGCAGTGAAACCGTGAGAATCCAAATCTTTAATTAAATTCCAAGGATACTTTATCGAAATCCAAGCAGGAATGTTTAACAGTATGAATTTTTCCCAGTCACATCCCTGCTCTCATAATAGTTTCAACCGGTAAAATTCACGGAGAGTTTTTATATGAAAATTCAGAGTCCACAGTAACTCCTCCTCTTACGGAAACTGTTCATGTCTGCATTGGGATGGAAACCAGATACGAGAAAACTTTCCTTATCGCTGAATAAAATTTGATTCGTTATGATGAACTTTCGTGATCTCCCGGTCTGACAGAAGCGTGGCCTTTCCCCTTAATGTAAGTAACGAGGCTCAAAGGAAATCCTTGGCATTGTCGAAAGTTTAGAAATTGAATTTTTCATGACTGAAGTTAAGAAACGTAATCATCTTTAATTTCGATTCATTATTTCTGAAAGAAGTGGATCCAGAAAAATATTGAGAAGCGTTCCTTTGAAATAAAAAATTCACGACGGAAAGTATCGTCCATCATTTTGACCTAGAATTTGAATATTTCTCTGTGGAAATGATTCAATATTTACTCTGCCATCGCATTGAGTCCCTCTCCTGCAATCTCCTTTTCATTATTTGTTGTATAAAATCTAGAAATCTAGTGAATTTAATACATTTAAATTGAAAAGTTTTGCGAGAAATGTCTGGTAAAATTTCGATATTTATTAATTTATCCGAGAAAATTCGTCTCATCGCTGAAGAAAATTTGATTCGTCATGATGAATTTTTGTGATCTCTCGGTCTGACATAAGCGAGGATTTTCCCCTTGACGTGAGTAACGCGGCTCACAGAAAATTCTTGGATTGTTAAAAGTCCATAAATTGAATTTTTCACGACTGAAGTTATCGTAAATGTAATCATCTTATATTCGATTCATTATCTTTAAAAGAAGTGGACCAAGAAAAACATTGAGAAGCGTTCCTTTGGAATAAAAAATTCACGACGAAAAATATCGTCCATTATCTTGACGTAGAAATCGAATATTTCTCTATGGAAATGATTCAATATTTACTCTGCCGTCGCTGTCAGTCCCTCTCCTGCAATCTCCTTTTCATTATTTGTTGTATGAAATCTAGAAATCTAGTGCATTTGATGCATTCAAATTGAAAAGTTTTCCGAGAAAGTGGAGATGCTCGTTTCCCTCATACAGGTTCTGATAGAATTTCGATGTGTATCAATACATCAATTGGCATATTTCGGAATTGATAGTCCACGGGTTCCTTTGTGTCTCTGTACCTAGCCTTCCCGGATCGATTCCAATACTCACATGAATCCTTTGATGAAGCTGAATATGTTCGAACGGAAGATGGAGCGAGATAAAAAAAACTCTTCTCATTCACATTTTACGAGATTTATTTCCGATCCGACGACTGAATATTGATTTGAATTCGTTATTCAGAGTTTTCTTATTAAGTGCACCCAGCAAAAAGGTCGTCATGACGCGTTTGAAACGAATAAAACTCTTTATTATAAATTTATCTGAGCGTTTCGTGAATATTTTTGGTGGAAATCATTAAACTTCATACATCTAATCAAGTAAAAATGTTTTGGTTATATCAATAAATTTAAAAAATTTGTTAATTCCTAATAAATTTTCCACTAGATTCAAGGAAATATTTTTTTCAGTTAAAAATTATTTTTTTATATGAATGAAAAAATTATTAAAAATAAAATTCAGATGTGAATAAAAGCTTTATCACGATCTGTTCAAATGAATTCATCGTTCCATTCAAATGAAGTTTATTTAATTAAAATAAACAACTTCTCTGTGTGTAAGGAACAATTCAATGAAAAACAGAAAATTTTCGATAGAAAAAAATTAACACATTATAATGGAAAAAAGCAGATCTCTCGATTTTACTCGATTAAAAAAATTTAGTCGATTTTACAATATAATTTTTTCCACTGAACATTGTTATTCGTCAATTCTTTTCTCTTCGTACAATCCCACTGAGAGAAAAAATTAGCTCTTCGGAAAAACTACACTTTCCGTGTGAGAATCTTGGACGGAGTGGAACAGATTTACTTGAGGAGGAAAATATAATCTATTGTACGACAATCATTTGATCTGAGAGAACTCCATAGGTTTATACTATAGAAAGAATACATTGACGAGGAAAGAATATTTTTGTCCCAAAAAAAATTGTCCCCTCGAAATTATTTAGTTCCGCCAATAACACAGTTATCGGCAAAAAAATTGTAGTTTCCTCTTAAAATTATTATTTGCTCCATGGAAATTATAAATGTTTATTGGCCAAAGATATACACTACTCAATACCATTCACTTGATAAAACCGGAGCCTCATATAATTCTCTGTAGAACGAATCTATTTACCCGAAAGACACATAAATGTCTCACGAGATAAATTACTACTACGAAAATCATCATGTTTCAGTGGAAACTTTCCTTTTTGTCCCCAAGTAAAGTCATTCAACACGACAAAAGGTCTCTTCAGGGGAGCATAATTTTTCCGCAGAGCTAATTGTTTCTCTCAGCGCGCCCTTAACCGCACTCCAATTGAAATCTCACCTCAATCGTGTCGAGTAATCAACGAGTCCATCAAAATCCGGCCAATTCTCAGTACAAGCTCTGCAAGTGCACTTGAACCAATAGCGTCCACTGAGTACCCTCTGCCGTTCTTTGAGACTCCTCTTCATGAAAATCGGTCCGTAATTCTCGGCAACCACCTCTCCCGGCTTCAACGGGCGCGTCGCCCTTATGACAATGTCCCGGCCCGTGAAGTACCTTCCATCATTACAACAGAACCATTAATCCCGTAATTCCGTAATTAATGCACTGAAATACAGTGAACAACGAGCGGAGGAAACACTCATTCGATCGGGGTAAATAGCATCTGTTTGATTACGAGGCATTGGCACTGGTCCCACGGGCTCAGGCATGATGAATTTGCCGGGAGTGTCGTGATTAAATCCCTCTGATTGAGGGGAATACTACGGGAAACCAGTCAAATGTGATTTACCTCCTTCAATTCGGCGGTTAAAGTGGCTCTACCCTTGCGGCTTGTCTCATTGAGTGTCTTCACAAACACGATAGTATAAAAATTACTGATTTGTGTGTATTTCATTCTTTAATTTTTTTGGTGAAAGTATGAATGAACAGTTCTTCAATTGAATACACGGAGAGAAAAATTCAATAATAATTACCAGAACAAAACGTAAGAATTACGTTTCGAAACGTAATCCTGAGCGAAGTAAAATTTGATAAAAAGTGTGAGTCGGAAGTGAAATTGCACGAATCGCCACGTAAATTCTACGATTTGTTCCGTAAAAATTAACCAGCCGTCTGATGACTCACCGCTGTGGGGACAACAAGTCATTCCGTAATTTTTCCCCAACGATTGAGAAATTTTACGGAACGGAACGTAGAAATAACTCACCAGCTTCATAAAAATTGTTGAACGTTCAAGAATTTTTGATTTTGGAGGCATAATAAGTCGGCAATTTTCTGTAAGATTTTACTTCTTCGGGAAAAATTACGTGACAATTTCGTACTTTGTTCGGTGATGAACCTGAAAATTCACTGAACGTTTCAGATTTCTTCTCTCCCATTCCTATAAAAATTGCCGGAAAACGATTCCCCATTTCGGATTACGTGAATTGTTCCGTTATTTTTACTGAATATTTCTCTCCGTGTCGTTTATAAATACCCGAGGCAACTCACTACGATTGTGTCATAATCGTCAAAATTGTTAACATTCCCGAAAATTCCGTAATAGTGTCAGACTTCGATAATATGAAAAGAATAAATAAATAAATTGTGTGAGTGTTGTGTCATAATCGTCAAAATTGTTAACATTCCCGAAAATTCCGTAATAATGTCAGACTTCGATAATATGAAAAGAATAAATAAATAAATTAATTCATTCGTTATATTATTTGATGTCATTCAATTCTTCCTGTTCGCCATTTAAATAACGATTTAATTCCTAACCAATGCACTTTTTATTTAGATCGGGGCAACAATTTTTTCTCTTTCATAAAAACGATCCATTCGACGTGAATAAAAGCGCAAATAAATATCAAGTTTGAATTGGAATAGGAGCTTTCTTATGAATTATTCGAATAAACCCATTAATTTCATTCAAATGAAGTGTATTGAATTTGAATGCACCTTTTCTCCGGCTGAAGCGTTGATGCTGGGGTAGAAATATGGCAAGTTGAATAATTTCGCTTTCACCGGTTCGTTCATTGCCGGAGGTGCTCTATTGATCGCCAGATGAATCAACCAAAAATTGTTAACCTTTCCGGATGAGTGTTGGTAATAAATTTAGAGAAGAGCTTTTATTCAAGTCACAATTTTCTTTTAGCCTATAAATTCATTTAGTTCCAACGTTTCTGTATGACACGAAAATCCCGTAATAACTCCAGACTTCAATGATGTGAACGATTATTTCAAATGAACGATTATTTCATGTCAATAAATTCGTTTTCTTCGCCGTTTGAATTGTGATTCAAGTTCTAATAAATGAACTTGAAATTTAGATCGAGGAAACAATTTTTCTTTTGTCATAAAACAGTTTATTCGACATGAATAAAAACGCAAATAAATGTCAGGTTGAATTTGAGCAGAAGTTTTGTTAGGAGTTATTTGAATAAATCCATTTATTTGATTCAAATGAAGTGTATTGAATTTAAATACAATATTTCTCCGGGTGAAGTGTTAATCCTGTGGTAAGAATATGAGATCCGCTATTAATCGCCAGACGAGCCAACCCTTCCCCACATGATTATAAAAATGTGCCATCTCCCTGAATAATCACGATTTCCCTAGATAGCTGGGACACTCGTCCTAACTCACGTGACGCCGTCCTATTAATAATGTTAATTAGCAAATTATCCATTGAAATCCATCACGCACTTACCTCGTGACAGCGGGGTAACAATCATGATTGAAGCGTGCCACGCTCGCATAAATAGCTATCCCCAGGTAGACGGTTTTGTTACCCCGAAAGCGGTGTTCGTTACCACTGCGGGTTTCAAAAATTTCGTGAGCGTTAAATTGAAGTAATTGCAGATTGCGGAGCAGAAGTGAGCCTATTGTTATCTCCTCGTCTGTCGGAGAGTCTATGTTCAGAAGGGCAGAAAAATCCGATGAATAAAAATTGATTGTCTTCTTCATAACAAGGGATTCAGTTTGTTTCCTTCATTTTACAGATGTAAAAATAACGAGTCAATTTATTTTGTGCTGTGAGTTACGGAATTATCTCGAGAGGATTTTCAATTAATTGGGAATTCGAGAATTTATTAACACAGATTTTACAGATTTATCAATGATTTTATTCATTTTCACGGAATGGTTAAACTGAAATTTACAGTTTTCATTGATCTCTTCCATCAAATTGGGAGTTTTCAGTGACGCAATTCCTTGAAATTTGAGTAAATTGATTCATTGAGTAAATAATTAATTGATCATTTGAGTAAATGATTTTTTGCGTATTTCACACTGAGCAAAACGTAATTTACGTTTATGTAGGTTTGTCTATATTTTTTGAAATTCTACTAAAAATATTGAAATTCTCACTAGACTTGTTTCCTTTTTTGCTGAACGACTTTTTTCCCTCTTCATTTAAAAAGAAAGAGGAAATTAATTAATTCTGTGACATTTCACGACTTCATTATTGATTTCATCCGAATATTCCTGATTAATTCATTGGAGCTGCAAAAGGTCAAACATACGTACTAATACTCGCTCGCGTGCTTCCAAAGAAGTCAACAGTCATCAGACATTTGAGCAGAAAAGCGGCCATGAGTGTTCGTTCAAAAAAATCACTAGGTGACCTCATTGATTCGTGAGTAACGAGTTCATACGCCCGGAAATCCACATCTCCAGTGCCTTTCATCTGCTGTGAATGTTCCAGAAGTTTTTTCTTCCTCAAACGCCGTTTAGCGGATTTACTCATGCCACCCTCGGGCTTTGCAGAAGCTTCACTTTGACTTTCCAACTCGTTTCTCGTGGTTTTGAATTCCGCAATCTCCTTGCACTTACGGTGGAGTTTCAGGCAAGTTTGGAGGCCTACTTGGGTCACCATGCGCAGGGCAAGTGTACTGAGAATACTCATTCCAGACCCTGCAAGTGCGGAGAATAGTGAGGGATTGGAGACTATATGAAATGACAATTCAAGTACAAAGGGTAATTACAACTTTATCGAAATGAAATGTTCATTTATCTTGACTAGTTGCTGTAGAGCACAATGGACAGAATTTTTTTTGTAGATTACGGAATTTTAGATACAAAATTCTATAATTTAAAAAAAAATTATGGAATATTTTATTTATTGGAATAAAAAAAAATTCCAAGAGAATGAAAATTTAGAGAGAAAAATTGATTTTTTGTGAAAATTCATTTTGACCTGTAGTTGAAATAATTCATTTTCAATTTTTGGATCATTTGGATTCATTTTGGGATCATTTAAAAACGAGTGATTTTTCAAGTAAAAGTGGAACACAGACGTCGGCATAATCACAATTTTGAATTGAAATTAAATTTTGAATATGTCAATTGTTAATATTACTCACCAATTTTGTTATTATAAAAATAATCATCAATGTAAATATTCAAATTCCGAATTATTTTATCAACTAGTAATTGAGAAATTAAGTTGCCAATTATTATATTATTTTTCAAATTTCAATGGAGATAAGTAAATCTTAATTATTGTGAGGTGAAACTTCTCATAATATTACTAAAGTAATGAGTGATGCCGATTTATTGTAGAAAACGAAATTTTTGTAGAGGATTAGAATTTAAACAGAGTAAATGTAGTGAATAAGTAAATTTTATCTAGTAAAATACGCTTTTTGTAGATAATGAAAAAACGATGAATTTTTTTAAATAAAAAATGCAAAAACAGGCTTGTATCATTGCAATGCTTTCCCCCGTAAGTTTTAATTAAATTTGTTTCATTACCTATGAAAAGAGCTAAAACTTTGCACTCATACTTGTGATAACTTTCCATAGCTTCGTTCCTGCATCCAACACCACAGAAGGCAACAGTGCTGCAGTGAGGGCAGCCCATGGGCGCTCGTAGTCTGAAAAAATGTGGAGGAAACCTAAGTTAAACCCTGGCTAAGCCCTGATTAAATCCTAACTAAACTCTGACTACGCGGAGAAAAAAATTCAATAAAAACTCCCAGAAAAAACACGTAAAAATTACGTTCCGAAACGTAATCCGCGAGCGAAGTAAAATTCAATAAAAAGTGTGAGTCGGAAGTGAAATTATACGAATCGCCACGTAAATTCTACGATTTGTTCCGTAAAAATTAACCACCCGTCTGATGACTCACCGCTGTGGGGACAACAAGTCGTTCCGTAATTTTTCCCCAACGATTGAGAAATTTAACGGAACGGAACGTAGAAATAACTCACCAGGTTCATAAAAATTGTTGAACGTTCAAGAATTTTTTATTTTGGAGGCATAATAAGTCGATAAATTTCTGTAAGATTTTACTTCCTTGGGAAAAATTACGTGACAATTTCGTACTTTGTTCGGTGATGAACCTGAAAATTCACTGAACGTTTCAGATTTCTTCTCTTCCATTCCTATAAAAATTGCCGGAAAACGATTCCCCATTGCGGATTACGTGAATTGTTCCGTAATTTTTACTGAATATTTCCCTCTAACGGTGCAGTGTCTTGAATCCAATTGCATTTTCATCAATTTTCACATAAATACAGATTTTAATAGGCTCAAAGAGAATTTCGCTGCCTGGCGAGACAATACAAGAAAGTGGAGAACTCTCGTTTTGTCTTGTCTCACGGCATCACTAGCGATCCCGTTTCCGAACGTAATTTTTATGTTTCTTTTTATGGTCCTTTTTCTAAAACTTTCAGCTCCTTGTGGAGAGTGAGTATTTCCACAGCTGTTTCGCGTTCTCAAATATCAAGGTAGCAAGTGTTTACGATCACAGACGGGTCCGCTGGATATTAGAATTTAAGAGGTACTGGAACACGTAATGGAAAACAGTTAATGAAAAACAGGGCGAGCACCAACCATAAACAGTATCATGTATCCTGTGCTCACTTGAGGGCCCTAACTCCCTTTCGGAAATTGCCCACTTGCGCGAATTTGGTCGACATGAGGATAAGTAGGGCGTCAGATTCACTTACTGAGAGGCGCCTCCGAGGATGATGAAGATGGTAAGTGAACCTATGGATTCGGTCTTTACATGGAGATGAATGGGTAATGAAAAACGTCTCGAAGATGTCAATTGAAAATTCAAGAACTCATTCCCCTGAATTTCCCACTGTTTTATTCATTTTCATGGAATACCTTAACTGAGATTCTCAATTTTTAGTATTTTTCTTTTATTAAATTGTGAAATTTACATTGATCATTAATTAGGAGTATTTCGAAAATAACTTTGAGACCTTAAAATTGATAGATAACAGATCCCCGGTAGTCAAGACCAAAACCTCGATAATTGATGAAAAATGTAATTTTTAAAGTATAATCTATATTACGAAAATCCTAATCGACTTCTGGTGATAAAAATCAAGGGTCATGAGGGGCAGATTAAGGGTCACAAGTGTCACATCAAGGGTTATGTGAGTCAGATTAAGGGTCGCAAGATTAAGGATCACAAGAGTGAGATTAAAGGTCTAAATAAGTGTCACAAGGATCAGATTAAGGGTCATGAGGGTCAGATTAAGGGTCGAAATAAGGGTTATGTGGGTCAGAAACTAAAGGTTACAAGGGGCAAACTAAGGGTCTTAATATCTCTTTATATTGTAAAAATCCAAAACAACTTTTGATAATGAAAATTTGGGGTTCGAAATTAAGACTCCAAAATTGAGGGTCAGAAATCAAGGATTTAAATAAGGGTCACAAGGGGTATCATGAGGGTCACGAGGGTCAGATTAAGGGTCACAGGGGTCAGAATACGACGATAGAGCGAGCAGGGGGCGTGGCCCCCTAGTATAACGCTAAAAATGGAAACAGTCTGGAATAATTTGGTGGAAATTTAATCCAATCATATTTACATAACATCATTTTAAAGAACAGAAAATGGCCTTCGAAATGGTAGGTCCACTAATATTCCCGTTTACTCAAATTAGAAATATCGAAAAGCGCCACCGAAGTTTAATTTTCAAGTAAAACATCAAAATGAAATTTTCGCCTAAAAGTCTCATAAGTCAATGAAAAATGGTCGAAATTGCACAAATCAGGTGCCACTTTGCACGCTTCATGGAAGAGGAAGGCGGGCATGATCGTAGAAAAAAAATCAAAGATAATTGGAATTTACAGAGAAAAGAATTTTGAAAAAAAAAATCGAAGAAAAAGAAACCAAAGAAAGGAGCCTGGTAGCTCTCACCGATCATTCTCTTTAGTATAAACTAATGGGCTTCCTCGAATGAGAGTAATTACAGCGGAATGCATTCAGCTATCCCCTAACAAGAGCTGCATAGCATGCCCTGAATAAATATTGTGAATAGCTTGATTACGAGGCTGTCACTGAGCATTCCAGTGCCAACAAGTCTGAGTATATCTCTGAATATAAATTCGGAATAATTTGAATTTCGAGAGGAATCTGTCGGGGGCTAGGGGATGCGCATTATGATTCATTTGATGAGATAATGAATGTCATCGTACACTTCATTAAATTGATCAGGAGCGATCACTGAGGATGACATATTCAAAAATAACGGAGAGCTATGAAAACACACAGTACAGTTATTCATTACAATGTTGACAGCCGCCCAAAATATCGATTCACTGGATTTTCATGCAAAATATATCACGGAGTACAAGATTTTTATTGAATACAAAATGTATTCAATATTAAATGTATAAAAATTATTACACGGAGAGAAAAACTAGAGAAAAATTACCGAACAGGTCAAGTAATCGTGGACTGAACTCGATTTTCAGTACTTTATCACATTCTATCGGGAAAAAATGCGAGACGAATGGTGAATTTTTCTCCGTTGGCCGGCGAAAATTTACTGAACGTGACGGTAATTTGTGCCAAAACCGTAAAGTTTACCCTGCATTCCATTAAAAATTATCCCAGTGAACGAGAATGATTGCTCAATATTGTGAACAATTTTTCTGTAACTGAGAATGATTTTTTATTAAACTTTTCTCTCCGCGTATATTGATTAAGGGGACACTACTATGAGTTTTAAAAGTCGCGGGTTATTGGAGTGAGATTTTTCATACGTTGAACATCAATTATATAGAATTGAAAACGAATAATTAGTGCAAAAGAAAATTGTTTTTATTGTTCGTTTGCTCGAAAACGCTTAAAATGCCAAAAACAGTCCAGGGCCTCCAATTTTTGAGCTACAAAGGATTTTTTTTTTTCAAAATTTTCGGAAAATTCCAAATGTGTGGAACAAAAATTACGAGCCAGTTTATTGAAATTCGACTCCTACACAGCTGATTTCGGTTTTGTTCATATAAAACAATTCACTATTAATGTAAAAAAATACAAAAAAGCAAATTTAGCCATGTAAGAGGCGAATTTTAAAAAAACTAGCTCGTGATTGTTATTCCACATATTTTTCTGAAAATGTTGAAAAAAAAAATCCTTCCTAGCTAAAAAATTGGAGGCCCTGGACTGTTTTCGGCAGTTTAAGCGTTTTCGGGCAAACGAACAATAAAAAAAATTTTTTTTGCACTAATTATTCGTTTTCAGATCTATATAATGGATTTTCAACATATGAAAAGTCTCACTCCAATAACCCACGACTTTTAAAACTCATAGTACTCTTCCCTTAATCGAAATGAAGTTAATGTAAAGTTAAATAAATCGTTTGATTTTTTCTCTCTTCATGCAATAATAAGATACGTCAGACTATTCAGATGTGATTTTAATAAATGAATCAGTACCCTCATAATATGTTAATACGAACGCCTCTATTCATCATCCAGTTCGAAATTTATCGTATTTGTCAACACCAAATTCGCGCAAAATTCTGTTCCAAAGATTCTTTATCCTGCAAACTCACCTAACAAAACAGTGATGACAGTGAGTCCCATAATAATCTGGCAGAAGACACGAAGCTAATGGGGGTTCTGTCGCAAGAGTATCTCCAACTCGTACATCACCCGCTGCTACTGCATGCCTCCCCACATCCGGTGATTCACGGATCTCCACGAGTCGCGACAGCCCCGGGAATTCTGGATTCGGTCCATCTGTTAACTGGGGTGGAATCGCTAAAGAGAGGCATTGAAAAAATTGATTTAAATATTCAGTAGGCACTCTGATAACAATTTTTATCTCAGCAGTTCGTTATGCGAGCTCCCCCGCACTTTTTCGCCTGTACCAGGAAGAGGGCGCGCGGTAAATTGTAATAGAAGGTTAATATTTATTCATTGTGATAATAAGAATAATGATAAGAGTCTAATAATCACAGACAAGAAATGAACCCTTAAATGAAACAATAATAATGATATGATAGCAATCTTGTAACTTAGGGATAAAATATTTGTTGATAAATTTTCCTCTATATGAGATATTTTCATCCTGAAAAGGCACCGTCTGGTGTGAATTATCCGCCTCTTGAACCAAATATTTCGTTGCTGTCGAAAGCAGAACAATTATTCATGTTTGAGACTTTCAAATTCGAAACAAACAAATTTTTTTTTTGCAATTTTCAACTAGCGATTTTGTTGGCCCAAACAAGACTTGTTTGACACCGTGTTCGTTTTTCTCTCAGTGTACAGTGAAATGAGTGAAATTGGGACAACTCAGGTGAATATATTCTTGAGTTGTAAAATAATAATTAAATTTCTCCCCAATTCAATACTGAATATTCATGCTGAAATGAAAATTTAATGTAAACTGTGAAACTCTCGACTTATTTATGCGGATCCCGGACATTCTCTCAAGCGGCCAACGTCTTGACAGAAAATTCATAGTGAGTTGTGAAATTTTTGTTCTATTTCCACTTGATATCAAATAATTTACTTAAATCGTCAACTCACATATGAGATTTCACACGCCTTTTCCACTCAAATCTAATTCAATGTCACTCTTCTAGGGATCACCCCTAGATTTTTCCGCAAGCTTCATAGTTAATAAATCATTCAGTTGACTACAGAGCGTTAAAATCAATGAATTATTCGCGAACAATTAATGAATCGTAGTTGAGAATTGAATCGAAAATTTAACTCCCTCATAAACAGAGCCTGTGCATGGTCCACGCTATTGTCGAATGCGTTGTGCATCGGCAATTAATGCATGAATCTCACCGATGATTCAATGGAAACCCCTCCAAAAGAATCCGCTCATTAATTGTAAATAAAACCTATGAGTGTGGCACTCATTGATTATTCCCTTCGCGAAAAATTCTAGTGGCCGCAAATTGCGAAGCTAAATTCGACATTGATATACGTCATATTGTCGGATTACACAAGTTAAATTAATTGAATGCTGACCATTCGCGATTGTTTTACGCTGCAATTGCATTGATTGGAGAATTCACAGAGCTTTAACTGGGTATTTCTGACTGAAGCTTCGCATGGTATCAAGCTTGATACATTCATCGAGAATTCGAAATTCTGAATATCAAATTATTTTGAAATTTAGGAGAAATGAATTTGTATTGTTCTGTCGTAATGCACTAATATCGTGATAATTATCGCGATCATTAAAATGAAAAAAGCGATGACTTCAGCTAAAAGGAAAGATTCTGCGGAAAAAATGTAACATCAAAAAAACAGATCGCACTGACAGAAAAAAATTAATTTTATCGAGAGAATTTTCTTTGAACTAACTGTCATTTGGTTGTTAATTTTCAAATAAACATGATTTCATAGTAAATACCGGTTATCTCCTCTTGAGATACATTTGACTGGGAGAAATCGAACTTTTCTAGAATTGAAGTTCCTTTTATTTGCCGCAATAATCAGAGTATTCGATTTTTTTCTAGCCAAAAGTTTGTTAGCTCCAGAAATTCGTTGGTTTACTCAAAAATCAAAATTATTCTCATGACTAAATACGTTGTTATCTCAATCAACATGATCATACGTTGTTTCAAGTAAATTAAAATTGCAGTGAGCATTTCGTATGTCGAATCTGGATGAATATTGTTACGCGGAAAAAGCTTTGAGATTATAGTAAGATGTCATTGAGTTGAAATAAGTTTCTATTTCTTGACTAAAAAAAATCGCATTAGTTTACAGTTTTTCGCTCAGAGTACGAAGAAACCCAGCGATTGCAGAACCTCCGTTTTCTTCTTTTCCGTTTATGATCCGTCACTCTAAAGTCTAAGCTTCGCTGATTCACAGCGAGCTATTGATGTGCCCTCAGCTGTTTGCTCGCTCACCAATGTTTTTTGTCCCGCCACTCCGAATTTGCGAGTCTGAGGGTCATTGAGCCGCCTGAGACCACCAACTCAAGATCAATATTGGTTCATCGAGCCAATTATGAAGGCCGGCGGACATGATAAGCGGTGGAAGGTTTGTCGGATAGAAAATCGGTTGATTATACAGTGCAGTCGTTTCAGAGGCTTTGAACTCGCGGTTTTGTTTGAACTGACGGTACGGCCCACACACATCTCGCAGAGTGGTGACACATCAGTTGATCTCGGTGAAACGGATTCGGATGGATTGATCCTAAAAATGATGGGAACAATAAAATCCTAGGACCAATCAATCCTACGCAATTTCAAATTGGATGAAACGGGTAGAGATGGTTTCGTAGATGGAGAGAGAAATATCGTGAAAAATGGAATTTACCGCTACAATTTTTAGAAATTTTTATGACAAACGACAGTTCTACTGAAATTTCAAGGAATTTCCTCACTGAAAATTCACAATTTGATGGAAAAATTGATAAAAATTGTGAATTTCACTTTATTTATTCCAACGAAAATTAAGATATCAATTAAAAATTCAGGTTAATCTGATGCAGAATCTTCATGTTTAGATAGAAAATTCAATTTAAAATTCAATTTACATTCATTTCATATGAGTACAAGAGGATTTTTAATTGGATTTTTTTTTCTTAGGATTATATTGCGTGAGGATCAATAGGAATGCAGAGAAAAAAATCTTCCAATGAAATTTGTTTCAGATAAGAAGTTATAGTAAAATTTTGTGTGGAAATTACGAGCATTTGTTCGTCTGAAATATATTTGATTGGTAGAACTATATTTTTCTCTCAGAGTAGAGTTATTCTGCGGGACTATTTTATCCACACGGAGAGAATATAAAAATTAAAATTACACTGCGAACATGGTAACCGAGGACTATACCGGCAAAACTTGAAAATTAGATTCATTTTAACCGAATGTTTGCCACATGAAATTCATTTTTTTACTTTTATAAAATGCACGGACGAAAAAAAAAAATTCTGAAGTGTTCAAACCGCTTTTTACTATTTTCATTATTTTTCCCACAGTGAAAAATAAGTTTATATTCTTTCCGAGTAGTACCTCTCTGCGATTCAATAACGCGTCACCTCCCAATTCCGCGGCCATTTTCCCAATATATGGAGATATGTCCGGTGTGAATTTCATTCGGACTCTCGATAATTCCGGGAATTTCGTTCATTCCACCTGCTATAAACGAATTCCCAATTAACTCAGTGCAGACCTGCCGCTCCGATATCATCGCAGAATGAGACTCACGTAAATTGCCGGCTGCTATATTATACCCGATTTTTCGTTGATCCAGTGTTGATGTCAGTGAGGATATTTCGATTGGCGTTGGAATCCTTTCGTGTGGGAGAATGGAATTCCTTTTTTGTCGATTCCCATATTGTCAACCCTATTTCGACAGGTTAAACTGCGTCGATAAATTTGAGTACACTTTCAAGGTTTCCATTCGGAAGTAAAAAAGAGAAGACACAAAACTGAATAATTTAAAAATGAGATTCGCGTGCAGAAAACAGGGAATGGCCCAAGAACAATATTTTTCTTGACGTATCTGAATTAATTCCGTCATGCCACTGCGGTATACGTATTCCATTTCCCTTGTAGTCACCCCCAACTCACAAATGTCCGTTCCCACATACGGAAATGAGATCCTGAATTACTCCTGTAATTAACATTTTCGTATTTGAACTGCAAGTGAACTTGGTGAACTTACGTTTACAGTACTGGTCTCTCCTGGCTGGTCCCAGTATTTTCACTGCTTTGTGGACGTCTTCGAGACGTTCATCAAGTTCCTTCAATTTTGAGTCGATTTGTGCTCTGAAAATTAAATTAGCAGATCATTATTTTCGGGCGGGGGCTCTGTTCCTTCCCTTTTATGCCTCAAATTACTAGAATTGCGTTTTTCTTGTTAGGTATTGTAATTCATCAATTTTTTTGTCATTTTCACAACAATTTTTTGAAGCCACTGAATGATCGAATTGTGAAAATCCTGTGGGGGTTTTCATTTTTATTATAAAATAATTCAGCACTTTCTGTAGCATTTCCCTCTGAACGAATCCCTCCCGCTTTGATAAATTGAAGTTTGCATATACTTCGAAATTATCAAATTTCCACTATGATAATTTCCGGCTGACGATGGAAATACCATCTAGCACTCATTATGCGGCAACTGTTTGTGGTTGAGTGCGGAAAATGAGGGAGGGATTATGTATTATGGAAACATGCTACGTTCAGCTGCAAGTTGAGCGAGTCAAAGGTGCAGTGTTATGTGAATAAAAAGCATCTTTCGTTCTGATAATGACTACCGGGGGTTAAAAATAGAGAAATTTGCACACGTGTTCACCCCGTCAACAATAATCCTCCGGCAAACACGAGAAAAAAGGTGAGAAATTATCGCGATATTTACGAGAAATTTTATTGTCGTCTCTTTTTTTATTTCTCATCGTAATTCACTGAAAAATTTTGAAAGCGAGATTTGTCAATTTTCCTCAATTCTTAAAAAAAGATGATTGAAATTTCAGTCTCGATTTTTTGGTTGTGAAGATTGTACATTAATTCACAGTAATCTTGATAAAATTCTCCATAAATTATCATTTTGGGACAAAATATATGAGAATTCAAGAAAGAAAATTCTATTGGATTTCAATCGGCCTTTCTATTACATTTTAGCCAATTTTCTATCGACATATTCCGCAGCTTATCTGGGTGTTTCGAGTAGAATTCGATTTTTCTACACAACTTATTCTATTGAGATATTTTCTACAGACATTCATCGGCTTAAATTTTGCCTAGTTTTTCGTTTGATTTTTTTTAACGAAAAGAGAAGAAAAATGAGTGGAAAAAATGCCGGAAATTCATGTCGATGAATTCCTACAGAAAATACCTCAGTAAAAAAATTGTATAAAAAACGCACAGTAAAACAGCGCAATTTTTTGACAGAATCGACAAAAAACTGATAGAATTTTTTATTCGCTAACTTGTTAAAAAAAAAATTTTTTTAATTTTTGTCTTCAATATAGTAATAGTAACCTGTAAGGGAATTTAGTTGCTAAATGACTTGAGCTTTTCTGTAGTTCTTGCACAACTTTTCTACTTCATGAATGATTGAATTAGATTAATTGCGGTAACTGCCCTGAATTCATTCCCGAAATGCTGTTTTCACCGAGAATATCAAATTGTTTCTCCACGGCTTCTCCGGAAACTATGTTTGTTCGGGTGTGCGGTGAGTGGTACACCCTAATTATGAAGAAAACCTTCGACATTCCGATGCAGTGGAAGGAGGCCTAATGTGGTTATAGCAAAGCGAAGGGGGAGAGAATGCTCGATAATCGAAGCACTTCCGAGAGAGAGGATTTCCGTACAGATGAAACGGTATTATTCAGTTGTGTGGAATTTCAGCCGAGGGGTTGAGGGAGAATCTTGATATAATGAAGTGATCTCCTCATTTTCCAGGTCGATTCATTTGCTCAGAGCCCGAAGAATCAGTTGGAGGATTTTCGGGAAAGTGGGATGGAGCGTTGATTCAAGATGAATAGACAAGAACAAGTTTAATTTGACGAGATATTCGGCAGTAATCTTTGTCTGTTTGGTTTGCATATGGAACGTACTCCATTGAAAGTTCATATTGTCACATAACAGGTTCTATATTAAGGATATCTAAGTATTTTACAGTTTGGTACAGACGAGACTATAGATTCAACCATTTTCAATCATCAAATTTGTCAATTACATTGCGTGAGAAAAATTTGAAAAAACTCAGCGCCATTCAAATGACGTTTTGCACAAAATTATTAGTTTTTTTAAATTCGTTGATGATGAATAAATAATTGAAATCGTTTAAGCTTTGAGAAACAATTTTTTTTAGGCATGAAATCGATTTCTGGTCAAATTCTGAATATGAATGAATTCGTTAGGATTCCGAATAAATGATTTTTACGGTGGAAAATTGATTGTTTATAAATTTTCTGTAGAAAATGCTCGTATTTTTAAAAAATTGCAATCTTTTAATTAATTCATTAAACTGTCTCCAAAAATAAACTTGCTATTTTTTTCAGATTTTTTAAATGTTTTCTAACGGTTCAATATCGAGATATCTGTTAATTTATTTTTGAAACTGTTATTTTATAAATATATTATATTCTGTAAATGTCCAATGTGCTCTTTTGACGCTATAATTGGCCTGTGGGCTGTTGGATCTGTATACAGCAATAAATAAATAAATAAATGAATAAATAAATGAATAAATATATAAATAAATAAATAAATAAATGAATTAATCAAATTTGTTTAAACATTATTTTTTTAGGCATGAAATCGATTTCTAGTAAAATTCTGAAAATGAATAAATTTGTTACGATTCCGAATAAATAATTTTTATGGTTTATATTTTATTGTTTATAAATTATTTATAAAGAATGCTCGTAATTTTTATAAATTGTAATTTTTTAATCCTTTCATCAAATTGCCTCCAAAAGAAACCTTTTTATTTTGTTGTTTTTTCCTTCGTTTTTTTTCCATGTATATCACAAAAAAATTAAGAAGAAATCCTTTTCATGTTAAAATATCTCTCAATTCTTCTGGAAATATAGCTCATGCACTCCTGGTATAATCCTTAGGAGCATGAATATTTAATCCGTCTGCGTACTGCGATCAATAGCATCGTGATTCCACAAGGAGCACCTCCGTTAGTTCTGTAAAGTTGACAGTGTAAACTTGCCTCGCGGAGATGTTTTTTGAATTCCCCGGATAATCCGAGCCTTCTGAAATCTTATCACTGATGACGCTCTGCACGGAGGAAAGAATCACAAAAAATTCATGTTCAATGAAGATGATCGGAGAGCAAAATTGTAATTCAGGTATTTTCAACTGAAATTTATAAACACTGAGAAAAAAATTTAATACTGCCAATCAAATTTATTTCAGACAAGAATTTAATGAACAAATTAATCAAAGAAATAAAGAAATCAATGAAACGGTTGATTTTTCAGTTCAATTATTCTGTGAAAATTCGGAAAAATTCAGGGAAAAATTGAAAATTCATGTTATTTTGTTTCTGAATATTCCACTGAAAATTCAATCAAGTTGTGAAATTTCCATCTCACTCCCACTAAAAACAAATGAATTTCCGGGAACTCTACTTAAAAATTGAAATATCATAGTAATTTTTTCCCTAAATCCGATTCAATGTCAGTCTCATGAGATTTACTATAATATCTTCTATGAAATTTCATGAAATTTATAACAGTGTAGAAACGAGGATAATTTTCGCATCCATAGATCTGTTTTTTTACCGAGCGAGGTATTTTTTCATTGAATTACATTTCGCTTCACGAGTCCCTTTCGTGCAGTAAAATTTGCCTCGATTTTCTAGGCAATTTTTACCCAACTTTTTTCTCCCTGCAGAATTACATTTCCCCAGTGAAAAAATGCGCGGCGCAGAGGATGGATTTTCCGCTTTAAACCACAATTTTTCGCAAACCAACAGTCAATTTTGTGGGCTGTTGCTCACACAGTTAAAAAAAAGGGTAAATTATATTGAATTTTCAACAGATAATTCGCAATCATTTTTATTACATTTTTTTTAAATGTTTTTCTCGTTGAATTTATTTGGGAAGAATAAATCAGTTATTTCATGACAGCTGAAACATTTTCGCCGGAATAAACCCATGAAATTTAACATTGAAATTTTTTTTAATAAATAGAAAAATTTCAATTAAACTGTTTTATCGTCCACTCTGGAATATTTGTATTTCTCGACAAAAGAAATACAAATGGTTGATAATATTGGTATTTTTTTCGAGTTTATGAAGAGCGCTATAGTGCAGAAAATACCGGGAATTGACAGGACTCAAAACAGAATCTCGACGAATAAACCAGACCCGGTAAGTATCTCGGCTCCTTTCATTCACTTTATCCTGCCACGCAGCGAATTGTTTTCACCCCTGGGACCGCACTAAAGATCTCCATCGCCTGGATGTTGAAAATAGGAAGGAAATAGGGCGGTTAATCCTGGTAGTACCGCCCAGCAGTATTCTTCGCTTTATGTCATATCACTTGGGAAACCGACCCGCAACCCACGGATTCGACTTTACGATATTTTTATGGAACACGTAAACAAGTTTTCCAGAGATTGGGGAAAATGTCGGGAGAGAGACGTGCCGCAAGAAAACATTCGTGATCACAGAGTTACAGGGAGAAAGAAATTGTAAAAAAGTACACAGAGTAAAGAAAGTTTTGATTTTCAAAAACATATCAGCAGTTTTCAGGGACATGCCACTGATNAAATGAATTTCCGGGAACTCTACTTAAAAATTGAAATATCATAGTAATTTTTTCCCTAAATCCGATTCAATGTCAGTCTCATGAGATTTACTATAATATCTTCTATGAAATTTCATGAAATTTATAACAGTGTAGAAACGAGGATAATTTTCGCATCCATAGATCTGTTTTTTTACCGAGCGAGGTATTTTTTCATTGAATTACATTTCGCTTCACGAGTCCCTTTCGTGCAGTAAAATTTGCCTCGATTTTCTAGGCAATTTTTACCCAACTTTTTTCTCCCTGCAGAATTACATTTCCCCAGTGAAAAAATGCGCGGCGCAGAGGATGGATTTTCCGCTTTAAACCACAATTTTTCGCAAACCAACAGTCAATTTTGTGGGCTGTTGCTCACACAGTTAAAAAAAAGGGTAAATTATATTGAATTTTCAACAGATAATTCGCAATCATTTTTATTACATTTTTTTTAAATGTTTTTCTCGTTGAATTTATTTGGGAAGAATAAATCAGTTATTTCATGACAGCTGAAACATTTT